CCAGGAGAGGAGAAGATCATAAAAATTCCAGTGAGATGTGTCCTGGGAATCTTTGGAAAAGTTTGTTCTAAAAAGGGGGCGGGGGGGAATTAGGTATGTCCTGGGAAACTGGTCATTTCTACAGAAATGTAGAAACTGGTCATTTCTACAGAAGGGGTGGGGAGGAATTAACATACTGGCTTTTGTTTCACTAAATACACATCGAGATAAGGGGAGGGGTATTAAAATGTGAATCATATTCCAAATTTTTTGTCTCAAACATCTGTGGCCAGATTCTCTAGTGGCTTTTCCAGGAGAGCCAAAGACTGAGGAAGGAGGAATCTCTTGGCTCTTTTCTGGATGGTTTTCAAGGATCTTGACATGTGGGTGGCAACTGGACCTTTTCACAGCACCATGACCAAAACTTCCCCTTGCCTTGTTGCTTGTTGCCTCAGTCACGTTGTTCGTATTTCTACAAAATCAGGAAAGTCACCCTGTGGCTATTTAGCTGGTTCACACCCACCCCCAGATTTGACGTCCGGCATAATTTTGGCCATTGGACGACTTGTCCTTTGACCCTGGATCGGAAATCTGGCTCTGCTTACAACCAACCTTGGAAGAGAGGTTCACCTGAAGACACCTCATGTGTAGTCACTCCTTGCTTTCAAGCGGTTGGGGTGCCTCCCTCTACAATGAAGAATTGCCCGTGTGTTTAACTAGCAGGGGTGTGCTTTGATCAACAAGGGAGCAGTTTGTGGTGTTGTGAGGTTGCCCTGGAGTCCCCACTTAAGGGACAAAAGCCGGCTGCCCAAATAAAAGCAGAGAGTCCAAGGCAGGTTGAAGTCGGAGTCCAGCGGGCACCATGAGGAGAGCCAGAGAACAAGCGGGCCTCCTTTTGTTCTGCCTGATGATCGTAATCCACCGAGGGGCACAGGATTCCTCCTGCCCAGGTGAGTAGCAGGCAGGTTGGCTCTAGGGAGCCAGAGGGGCAGCGTCCTTCTGCCAGCCTCCAGGGATGGGAAATGTAACTGAGGTCCAAAAGAAACACCCACTTTTCTGCTCTAAACGTTTCCCTTCCTTTGCAGAATTTAAGGCCCTGGGCCTGAATGGCAACGAGACAATAGCCATCGTGCGGGGGAGCCCGGGCTTGCCAGGAGCGCAAGGGCCACGGGGCCCTCCTGGCATTCCAGGGGCCAAAGGTGGGTCTGTGCACAGAGGGGGAAGTGGGCTCCTGAAACTGACCCCTCCTGAAAGAAACAACCTGTCTTGCCACAAGGCAGAAGGGAAGTGCCACGAAATGGCAAAGGTGGCAAAAACTGGCAACGCTTCTTCCGGGCACTCAGCCTGTTGAGACTCCCCTTCCCAAAGGGGGCATTCCTTGGGTTAAGCCACCTGCTCTGGTGTAAGCCTGCACGAAACACAGAGGGGGCTGGCAGCTGCCCAACCAGCCACCTTTCCTTTCCAGGTGAAAGGGGCTTGCAGGGAATCCCCGGGAAAGTTGGAGCCCCTGGGCCAAAAGGTAAGAGGGGGTTTTGGATTCCGGGGTCGCACAGGTGTGTTTGGGCAGCTGGTGGAGAGATGGGGGGGGCAAATTGGGCAAGGAACCCAAAGAAGAGACCCTAAAAGGGGGTGGTTGGTTTGCTTGAGTGTAGAGATCACACACACACACACACACACACACACACACACACACACACACACAGAGCGTCCCAGAACCTCACCTGTCTGAGAACCTGGGACCCATTTCCTCCCAGCAAATATTGCTACTTATGGGCTTCTGGGGTTCAGCTGCTTGGTGCCCCCTTGAACCCCAGTGATGCTGCCAGGCCCTCCTAAAGAGGAGGAATTCTGCCCTTCCCTGTCTCTTTTGCATTCCAGGCAAGAAAGGCGACCCAGGAGAAATGGGTAAGGACTGCGCCCCCCCCCCCCCCCGAGGGGGACAGCAAGAGGAGCTGCCTTGGATCTCGAGGCCTCAGCCAGCCTCTCGATTCTCTGAAGCAGAAAGGGGTTCCTGGCCTAATTGTACAGCTCTGCCCCCCTCCCCCCAATGAGCTCAGGAGGGCCTGAGGTTAAGCTAAAAGGGACTCCTGGCAGGCGGGCAGCCTCCGTCCCGCACCCACTGCAAGCCAGCACTGTGGTGTCTCTCCCTCCATGGCTTTTCCTGCCACATGGAGGCTGGGGTGGGTGGGGGGCAGAAATGGGCTTTTATGCACTCTTCCTTCTTTTTTGCAGATGAGAAGAGGCTGGAGGTGCTCCAGTGCAAGCGAGGTGAGTGAGTGTGTCTGTGTGTCTGTGTGTCTTTACTACCCATTATTTTCCTAGCTCCCCTCCCACAATTCCCCAAGAGAGTTCGGCCAATGCTGTGGCCAGACAGTTCCAGCTATCTGCAGGATTCTGCCTTTGCTTCAAGAGGAAAAAGGCAGAAAAATGGGGTTGTCCTAAAACAAGGTCCCATCTTTAAAAGAAACATGGCTCCTCCAAAAATATTTCAGGGGGGGGGAGGGAACTCCAGCCCACCCAATCCAATATTGAGAGCATCCCCCTATCCCCAACCTACAATGCCTGACTGCAATGACTCGGCCTCGGGGTGGGTGGGTGGGATGCAAATGTTTAAACTACCACTTCTGTGGGCGTGGCAAAATAGGCGTGGCCAGGGGGGTCATGTGACTGGGTGGGTGTGGTGGGTTTTTTTTTTTTTGTTTTTTTGCCTACTGTGCCTCAGGGAAGCCTCCTGGGCTAAGCGGTACAATGGCAAGGGAGGGGGGAATCCGCTTTGCCCCTCGATTTAGATTAGCTGGAAAGCCAGAAATCTGACGATTTCCCGCTTTCTAGCTAATCTAAGTTTGTGCAGCACAGCTGATCTTTGGAAAACAGCTGATCGGTGGGGGGGAAAAAGTAAAAGGAGATACCCTCATCTTTGAAGCCAAACCAGTTTGCTCCCAGTTGATCTTCGGAGCTACTGGTTCACCCGAACCAGACCGAACCGGTAGAATCTCCCCCCCCTGCTCAGCCTGCTTGACCAACCAAAAGACTAAGAGTGGTACAGGGTGTTTTGGTGAAGACCCTGGCACAGAGAGCACCAACCTCACCTGCCCTCTTTCTGCCCAGGTGCCCGAAACTGCAAAGAGCTCTTGAAAAGGGGGATGGTCCTGAGTGGCTGGTACACCATCTACCCGCAGGACTGTAAGCCCCTGGAGGTGCTGTGCGACATGGACACCGACGGAGGCGGGTGGATTGTAAGTCCGGCGGAGGGCGGCTCTTCCCAGGCCTGGCCAAGGGGTGCAGCCCTTTTTTTAAAAAAAAAAAATATTTATACATTTTTTTCTTTTTAAAAATACATAAGTGCTTAATAAATAGTGTTTTGTCTGGATCAATATGCTTGTACAAAGTGTTAGTAAACTAGTAGTAAAAGTAATAGTTATAACATCTATACTTAGAATATCACAATTTACTAATTATAGTAAACTATATGACTTGATTAATATATATATTTCAGTAGTCTTTCATCCCCTAATTTCTACCTCTTTTATTCAAACATTGATAGAACATATCCCATGTTAAAAATATACTTTGTTTCTTCCTTATCTTTTATTATTAAGGTCAATCTATCCATCTTCGCACAGTCTAATATTTTTCTAATTGTACTTTCATCCTCATTTTTCTAATAGTGTGCAAATACAATTCTTACTACTGTCAACACATGTAATATTACATATACAACCCCTGGCCTTTATCATTATTTTTCTGGCAATATATCTTACAATAATATTTCTGGTTTTAAATCAATACGTTGCTTTATCATTTTCTCTAACCATGCGTGTATTTTCATCCAGATTTTTATTTTTTTGCTTTTGGACAAGTCCACCACATATGAAAGTCGGAACCCAGTATCTGATTACATTTCCAACATATCGCGGACATATTCTTAAACATTTTTGCTAGTCCTGCTGGTGGTAAATGCCACCTATCAAACATCTTATACAAATTTTCCTTATAAAAGGTTGCTGCTGTCAATTTACAACCCTAACCCTAACCCTATCCCATTTTTTTTGGCCATTGAGCTAATTTTATGTTATACCCCAAGTTTTTTGCCCATGCTATCATTGTTTTTTTCACCTGTCCATCTTCCATTTTATAGCACTTCACAAATGACCATATATTTTCTTGATTAATTTTTCACCCGTCCCTAAAAATATCCGATCCAGGGCTGTTGGCTCTTTATAGAACCCACGGGTTTTTGCATCCTTCACATATCTTGATTGTATTTGCAAGTATGGCCACCGTGCTAAATCTACAGCAAATCTAAATCTATAGATTGCCCTGCTGTGGAAGGAGCCTTCCCTGGGAAAACGGGGTTAGGCTAGTGGTGACATTCTACTGCTTCAGCCCGGTTCGCGTGAACCGGTAGTAAAAAATGTGATTGTTTGTCCAAACTGGTTGTAAAAAAAAAACAACAGCTACCGGTTCAGCTGAACCAGTTTTTTCCCCTCCCAACAATCAGCTGTTCCGACAATCTGCCGTGCCGGGAGCCCCCTCGCTGTCTTACTGCTTTGACCAGAGGCAGAAAAAAGAACCCCCAAAAGAGCAGGGGGCGGCGGGGGGGGAGGGGAGGTTTGCTGCAAAAAAAGAAGCCACACCTACCCAGTCACATGGCCCCGCCCTAGTCCCGCCCACAGAACAGGTAGTAAAAATATTTGCATCCCACCCCTGGGTGATGCCCCACAGCAGACGCACCCAGGATTGCAACTTTGCTGCTTGCCAGGAATGGAATGAACCCGAAGTCAAGTCTCTACCAGGATGCGGCCTGGAAGGACTCTGGTGTGTGTGTGTGTGTGTGTGTGTGTGTGTGTGTGTGTGTGTGTGTG